AACGGCCTTGGGATGAATTCTGGTATGGATTTTGCTAAATTGAAAAGTATCATGTATGGCGCCATTTCTTCTTTACAGATGTTTTAGAATTAATTTGTTGATTTGAATAAAAGAGTTGTGCTAGGCAAAATATTTGTTTTTATCGTGCTTATTTTCGCAACCTAGTATATACCAGCGTTGGTAGCTACCAAATCGAGAGAGGGGGAGAAGAGGGAGATTTGAAATTTTCGTTTTTTTGACGGTGGCAAACAACTTGTAAAAATCGTCTCGTTTGATTCCATCACATCGGACATGGTTATACGGCTTTATTTCAGCCACACTCGTTTCTACTAACCTGCACGTCTGGTCGTTTCTGCGCCGCTGACGGAGCCCCAGTCGATTCCGCACGTGCCGTAGGACGTCTTTCTGCGTAATGTAAAGTGAATGCGTTTGTCCGAGCCTATCTCGCAAGCCCCAAGAGAAAAACCTCGCTGCAAAAACTGAGCCCTTCAAAAAACCCGCAAAGCTACTCAAATAGTATTTAGACAAGATATCTTGGCTCGCTTCGCGTCGCGTTGGCCATAAAATGATTAAGGAGAAAATTTGGGATCGATGGGTGTTTTTCCGGTGACGATCGGACGTCTAGAAGCTTCGATATTGGCGAAAAACTTGCTGAACTTGCAAAAGTACTTGGTACTTGCTTGGTACTTGCCAAAGTACTCGGTACTTGCCAAAGTACTTGGTACTTGCTTGGTATTTGCATAAGTACTCGGTATTTGCCAAAGTACTTGGTACTTGCTTGGTATTTCCATAAGTACTTGGTACTTGCTTGGTACTGCGAAAGTACTTGGTACTTGCACTCGCCCCCCGTTCCCCCGACTCTACTCCCACACCTACCCCCTCGGGATAATTCCGGGTTCGTCGGGTAGGAAAACTTGCCACTCTACTCCCCCCCCCCCCCCACACACACACACAGAGCCATTTGGTATCGATCGGTGTTTATCCCGTGTCAATCGGTCGTCAATAAGCCGAGATATGCACGGCGAATTATTTCAATCGGCGTCGATCAGAATCTTCAGAACGGAGGGACCCACACTCATTTCTGGCCGTATCTCACTTTTCCGAGATTTACGTCAAACTACGTATTTAAAACTACATATTCTACAGCCGAATCTTCAAACTGGACTTGCCAAAGTACTCGGTACTTGCCAAAGTACTTGGTACTTGCTTGGTATTTGCATAAGTACTCGGTATTTGCCAAAGTACTTGGTACTTGCTTGGTATTTCCATAAGTACTTGGTACTTGCTTGGTACTGCGAAAGTACTTGGTACTTGCACTCGCCCCCCGTTCCCCCGACTCTACTCCCACACCTACCCCCTCGGGATAATTCCGGGTTCGTCGGGTAGGAAAACTTGCCACTCTACTCCCCCCCCCCCCACACACACACACAGAGCCATTTGGTATCGATCGGTGTTTATCCCGTGTCAATCGGTCGTCAATAAGCCGAGATATGCACGGCGAATTATTTCAATCGGCGTCGATCAGAATCTTCAGAACGGAGGGACCCACACTCATTTCTGGCCGTATCTCACTTTTCCGAGATTTACGTCAAACTACGTATTTAAAACTACATATTCTACAGCCGAATCTTCAAACTGGGGGTACCTCAGACCGTGGGAACGACTCGGCTCAGCACTGCCGCACGCGCATTCAGCGGCGGCTTGTCGATTTTTCGAGTGTCGGCTGCCGATCTCCCGAGAGCCGGCCACCTGTCAGCCGCCGCTCGGCTCTGTGTTAAGCATATGGGGACGGCGAATTTCTCCCGGAGGGAAGCACCTCGCTCACAAAAGCACGTGAATCAGCCGCATTCCTGTGAGGCGCGCAATGTTGAAGAGATATGTGTGCACGCAGCTATCTCGCAAGCCCTAAGAGAAAAAGCTCGCTGCAAAAACTCAACGTTTCAAAAAACCCGCAATCCTACTCAAATGAATAACTAAACAAAGTACTTGGTACTTGCTTGGTATTTGCATAAGTACTTGGTACTTGATTGGTACTTGTAAAAGTACTTTGTACTTGCTTGGTACTTGCGAAAGTGCTTGGTACTCGCAAATGTACTTGGTACTGCACTTTTGTATGTTTCGACTACCTGGTCTGTTTTGTATGTTTTGAACGTTGTATGTTACGACTTCCATGTATGCTTTGATAAGTGTACGCTGCGGTCTTGTATGCGCTAGACTGCGGTTGTACCGCTAGGTGGCAGCAGCCACCGGTCCGGCCGCCCCAACTGCGGTCCAGGTGGCAGCAGCTGCCGGCAGACTCGGCAGTTTTTCCCGTCGTCGGGCGGTCGGCGGCGAATCTCCGCAACGGAGGGACCGCCAGCGAGTTTGTCACGTGAATCAGCCGCATTCCTGTGAGGCGCGCAATGTTGAAGAGATATGTGTTTCCGCGGGTATCTCGCAGGCCCTAAGAGAAAAAGCTCGCTGCAAAAACTGAGCGTTTCAAATAACGCCAAATCCTAGTCAAATGGATATTTAAACTAGTGGATCCTGGCTTGCTTCGCGGCGCAAAAGGACATAAAATTTGGGATCGAATGGTGTGGAATTGAGAAATTGTTGGCAAAATTGGCCAGTTCGAGTGATGTTAATTTCGAGTAATAGTGACATCTAGAAGTCTAGTTATGTGCTAAATGGTGTTTTAGTGGTTAATTTGAGGTCAAAAAGGTCATTTGAGGTCACAGGGGTCAAATAAGGTCACTTTGGGTCAGGTCAGGTCACGATAGGTCACCCTAGGTCACGATAGGTCAGTTCAGGTCACGAAAGGTCACCCCAGGTCACGAAAGGTCAGGTCAGGTCACGATAGGTCACCCCAGGTCACGAAAGGTCAGGTCAGGTCACGATAGGTCATGCCAGGTCACAGGGGTTGCTTAGGTCACAACAGGTCACCCCAGGTCACGATAGGTCACGTCAGGTCACCATTGGTCATGCCAGGTCACGATGGGTCAGGTCAGGTCTCCGGTTAACTCGGATCATGCAAGGTCACAGGGGTCGCTTAGGTCACAATAGGTCACCACAGGTCACGGGTCACGATGGGTCAGGCCAGGTCACAGGTCAACTTAGGTCATGATAGGTAAATGCAGGTCAAACTGGTCACATTAGGTTAGGGCAGGTCAATTAGGTCACGATGGGCCAGGTCAGGTCACTGGGTTGACCTCAGGTCACGGTGGGTCAGGCCATGGCACAGAGGTCACCTAGGGTCACGATAGGTCAAGTCCAGATCAAGCTGGTCACGTGAGGCACGGTCAGGCCATTGGCGTCGTATGAGGTCACGATGGGTCAGGGTAGGTCACAAAGGTTACATGAGTTGAGCATTGAATCTGGAATCCAACATCAATCCTGCCGCTTTGTCTTGCCTCGTGTTCTGCCAGCTATTTGAAATCAATTCAGAAAGCTTGAAAGTATTCCACTCACCTGTGCTCTGCCAGAGAGTAATACAAAGCCTACACCACAGACCTGCTTCGTTTCGCTGCAACCCGTTAACTGTAACCCATTCGCTTAAATCCGTTAGCTGTAACCCCTTCACTCTTTGCCTTTGTCGGCCTTGAAAGTATTGAAAGTTATTGCTTGAAAGTATTGAAAGCTTGAAAGTATTCCATAAAATGTGCATCAACACATGCTACATTACAACTCTTGAACACACAAATACTTAAACACATCAATCCTGCCGCTTTGTCTTGCCTCGTGTTCTGCCAGCTATTTGAAATCAATTCAGAAAGCTTGCTAGTATTCCACTCACCTGTGTTCTGCCAGAGAGTATTACAAACCTACACCACAGACTGCAGTGCCCTGTCTGTTTCGCTGCAACCCGTTAACTGTAACCCATTCGCTTAAATCCGTTAGCTGTAACCCCTTCACTCTTTACCTTTGTCGGCCTTGGAAGTATTCAAAGTTATTGCTTGAAAGTATTGACAGCTCGAAAGTATTCCATAAAAGGTGCATCAACATATACTACATTACAACTTTTGAACACACAAATATTCACACTGCCCTAACCACATAAATCTGACGCTTTGTGAAAAACCCGAGCTCACCAGTGTTCTGCCAGCCATTTCAATTTGAAATCAATTCAGAAAGCTTGATGTATTCCAGAAAAGGTGCATTCAACATTGATCAGCAATAAATCTGGATATCATTTGTCCCATTCGAAGACAATGTTACTAAATGAACTTGAAAAAATGAGGCCAAATTGCTTTCATTGTATTGTAAAAACACCTGGCTTATCATTGCCTATCAAATTGTATATACATTCTATATAATGGATGACGTCACCGGAGGAAGAAAATCCAGCACCTGATTGGCTGCCGGCGGCTGCTTAACGTTGCGTGACGTCACCGGTGGGCACCGGACGTTGCCTTTTTGCAAGATACTTTTTCGCCTGGTTACCAACGCTCAATGCCGCCAGTTAAATTAGGAAATAAATTGCTTTCCGGTGTAGAAAGCGCCCAATCGGTCACTTTAAACTTGATTACATAATTAACAGATAATTATAAACCACCCTTTAGCTCCTAATCGCACAAAAATATTCAAATCCCTCTCTCATCCTCTCAGCGCGTCGCTCGCCATGGCCGCCGCGGCCGCCGGCAGAACAGCGCTGTCTTACCAACGAATTTCTGTCAATTTCAACGAACTGATTTTCACGAAAACTATCCCACAGCATTCACAACACTCACTTTTACGTCGTGGATTACTTTTCTGGACACTTGCACTTGATTTTCTATTTATTTGCGAATTTTCAAAACCGCGTATCTTCCGCTGCATTCGCCGGCCGAGAGCAACTGAGAGAATGGTGGCCGGCCGTGCACTGCCTCCATCACATCGAAATGATTACTTTACTGCACAAATCGGCCTGGCCCAGTAATTTAAACTTGATAATTTAATTAGAGGAATGTTTTAAACTATACTCAACGTCTCTTTAATCGTGGAAAGTAATTATTTCGCTATTATCTATCGAACGACCCGCCGCAATGGCTGACGCCGCCGGCCGCCGCTTCGGCTGGCTTCGGCAGCGGCCGGATCTGAGGGATCTGATTGGTCGAGCGCTCACTTGGTAGGGAGCTCTGATTGGTCGAGCGCCACTTGGTAGGCATTTTCTAAATAAAAAAGCATGATGTTTTTCAATAAATTTTCTTTACAGAATCAATTGAATGTACTACTCGATGAGAATAAAAAAGTTTTGTACGACAAAATATTTGTATTTCGTGTCGTTTATTAACGCTAGCTAGTATATACCAACGTTGGTATATTCGTTATCCTAGGGGAGGGGAGATGGAATCGGAATTTATTTTGTCTTTCTGAGCGTCGCAAACTATTTTAAATAATCGTAGTTGATTTTCTAAACACATGTGACACGGTCATTTGGCTTTATTTCAGCCACACTCGTTTCCACTCACCTGGTGTCTGGTAGGACTTGGTAGGATGGTGTATAGCCGAATCTCCGGGATCGGAAGAGGCGTGGCAGATAACTGCTCGAGAATTCAGCCGCTTAGGACGTCTTTCTGCGTAATGCAAAGTGAATGCGTTTGTCCGAGCCTATCTCGCAAGCCCCAAGAGAAAAACCTCGCTTAAAAAACTGAGCCCTTCAAAAAACCCGCAATCCTACTCAAATAGTATTTAGACTAGTGGATCCTGGCTTGCTTCGCGGCGCAAAAGGTTATAAAATGATGAGGCATAAAATTTGGGATCGAATGGTGTTTGTCCCGTGTCGATCGGCTTTCTAGAAGCTAAGATAATCGCAAAAAACCTGTTCGACTTGCAAAAGTACTTGGTACTTGCTTGGTACTTGCAAAAGTACTTGGTACTTGCTTGGTATTGGCAAAAGTACTTGGTACTTGCTTGGTATCTGGAACATGCAAAAAGTACTTGGTACTGGCTTGGTACTTCCAAAGGTACTTGGTACTTGCTTGGTACCGGGTTCGCCGGGTAGGAAAACTTGCCACTCTACTCCCGCCCCCCCCCAGTTCCCCCCAGATTTTGTATCGATCGGTGTTTGTCCGGTGTGAATCGGTCGTGAATAAGTCGAGATACGCAAGGTGAATTATTACCATCGGCGCTGATCAGAATCTTCAAAACGGAGGACCCCACGCTCATTAACTGCACGTCAATCGGCCGTGTTTCACTTTTCCCAGATCTACGTCAAACTATACGTATTTAAAACTACATATTCTACAGCCGAATCTTCAAACTGGGGGTACCCTCGCTCATTACTGCGCGAGAATTCAGCCGCATTCCTGTGTCTTTCTGCTAATGTTAAGTGAATGCGTTTGTCCGAGCCTATCTCGCAAGCCCCAAGAGAAAAACCTCGCTGCAAAAACTGAGCCCTTCAAAAAACCCGCAATCCTACTCAAATAGTATTTAGACAAGATATCTTGGCTCGCTCCGCGTCGCGTTGGCCATAAAATGATTAAGGAGAAAATTTGGGATCGAATGGTGTTTTTCCGGTGACGATCGGACGTCTAGAAGCTTCGATATTGGCGAAAAACTTGCTGAACTTGCAAAAGTACTTGGTACTTGCTTGGTACTTGCCAAAGTACTCGGTACTTGCCAAAGTACTTGGTACTTGCTTGGTATTTGCATAAGTACTCGGTATTTGCCAAAGTACTTGGTATTTGCTTGGTATTTCCATAAGTACTTGGTACTTGGTACTTGCGAAAGTACTTGGTACTTGCACTCGCCCCCCCCGTTCCCCCGACTCTACTCCCACACCTACCCCCTCGGGATAATTCCGGGTTCGTCGGGTAGGAAAACTTGCCACTCTACTCCCCCCCCCCCCCCACAGAGCCATTTGGTATCGATCGGTGTTTATCCCGTGTCAATCGGTCGTCAATAAGCCGAGATATGCACGGCGAATTATTTCAATCGGCGTCGATCAGAATCTTCAGAACGGAGGGACCCACACTCATTTCTGGCCGTATCTCACTTTTCCGAGATTTACGTCAAACTACGTATTTAAAACTACATATTCTACAGCCGAATCTTCAAACTGGGGGTACCTCAGACCGTGGGAACGACTCGGCTCAGCACTGCCGCACGCGCATTCAGCGGCGGCTTGTCGATTTTTCGAGTGTCGGCTGCCGATCTCCCGAGAGCCGGCCACCTGTCAGCCGCCGCTCGGCTCCGTGTTAAGCATATGGGGACGGCGAATTTCTCCCGGAGGGAAGCACCTCGCTCACAAAAGCACGTGAATCAGCCGCATTCCTGTGTGGCGCGCAATGCTGAAGAGATATGTGTTTCCGCGGGTATCTCGCAGGCCCTAAGAGAAAAAGCTCGCTGCAAAAACTGAGCGTTTCAAAAAACCCGAAATCCTACTCAAATGGATATTTAAACTAGTGGATCCTGGCTTGCTTCGCGGCGCATGGAATTGAGAAATTGTTGGCAAAATTGGCCAGTTCGAGTGATGTTAATTTCGAGTAATTGTGACATCTAGAAGTCTAGACATACGCAAAATGGTGATTTAGTGGTTAATTTGAGTTCAAAGGGGTCAAAAAGGTCATTTGAGGTCACGATAGGTCAGGTCAGGTCACGATAGGTCAGGTCAGGTCACGATAGGTCAGGTCAGGTCACGATAGGTCAGGTCAGGTCACGATAGGTCAGGTCAGGTCACGAAAGGTCACCCCAGGTCACGATAGGTCAGGTCATGTCACGATAGGTCACCCCAGGTCACGAAAGGTCAGGTCAGGTCACGATAGGTCATGCCAGGTCACCGGGGTTGCTTAGGTCACAACAGGTCACCCCAGGTCACGATAGGTCACGTTAGGTCACCATAGGTCATGTCAGGTCACGATGGGTCAGGTCAGGTTTCCGGTCAACTCGGATCATGCAAGGTCACAGGGGTCGCTTAGGTCACAATAGGTCACCCCAGGTCACGGGTCACGATGGGTCAGGCCAGGTCACAGGTCACCTAAGGTCATGATAGGTAAATGCAGGTCAAACTGGTCACATTAGGTTAGGGCAGGTCAATTAGGTCACGACGGGCCAGGTCAGGTCACTGGGTTGACCTCAGGTCACGGTGGTTCAGGCCACGGCACAGAGGTCACCTAGGGTCACGATAGGTCAAGTCCAGATCAAGCTGGTCACGTTAGGCACGGTCAGGACATTTGGGTCATATGAGGTCACGATGGGTCAGGGTAGGTCACAAAGGTTTCATGAGTTGGGCATTGAATCTGGAATCCATCACTTTTTGTTCCATGCCGATCTGACGTTCAGAAGTTGAGATATTGGAGAAACACCGCATAAGTACTTGGTAGGTACTTTGTATAAGTACTTGGTAATTGTCAGAGTACTTGGTACTTGGAACTTGGCAGGGCATAAGATTTGGAATCGATTAGTGTTGGTCCCGTGTAAATCCGACTTTTGTGTCCCCGCCCGCTGCTTGCAAACTCAGGCCAGCCTCCAATGACGTCACTCGAGGCCGCTGGACAAACAGCCTATGGAGATTCGTGGCGTTACGCTGTGCAGCAATTGAAAACAAATCAAAGAGTCAGTATGCGCTGAAAATAAGCCTTACTCGCTACTTTATCTTTTCAATTAAAGAAAACATAAGCTGCTACCACAGGCCCACACTTAAAACCTTGTCCTAACCACCTGTCTAGTACTCGCGCGCGCCACTTACTGCTAAGTAGGTACCTACCTAACCATGCTGAGAAATGAATTCAGATTGCATTCGGCTTATTTCAGCACAATGTCTTCGTCTTCGTCTTCGTCTTCGTCTTCGTCTTCGTCTTCGTCTTCGTCTTCGTCTTCGTCTTCGTCTTCGTCTTCGTCTTCGTCTTCGTCTTCGTCTTCGTCTTCGTCTTCGTCTTCGTCTTCGTCTTCGTCTTCGTCTTCGTCTTCGTCTTCGTCTTCGTCTTCGTCTTCGTCTTCGTCTTCGTCTTCGTCTTCGTCTCGGCTCGGCTCGGCTCGGATTTCTACAATTATATTTATATAAATTTATACCTATATATAGACAATTTTGAGCTTACCCCGAAAAAATGATGTAGGTATCCATTTAAAAGCATTTCAGAACAATAAGCTTCTCAGTTTGGAATGTTTTATAACCAAGCTCAATTTAGCATCATTTTATGATAATATTTTCGAAAATCTTGCCCACATACCTTTCTATATTCATGTGCAACAATATTTGAAAACTTGGGAACACCGGCGCTTGATTTTCTACTTAAATACTAAAACTGCGACGTTGGAGCCAGTCATCATCAGAGCCAGATATCAACTGTCATAGTAAAAAGAGGACAAACGCCATACTTGAAAGTTAAATAATTAATTAAAGCAAAATATAATCTACATTTCATCTCCTTACCCCACGAAAATCTTGAAAACTTTATCCTATCCACAGTGTACTGAATCACTGATCTTCTATTTATGTCCTTTCCGAGATCAACATTGCACAAAACAAACAACCGCGTCGCCATGACAACCATATCAAAGTGATAATTTTATTGCACGAAAAAGCCATACCCAATTATTCAAACTTGATAATTAAATTACAGAAATGTTTTCAACTACATTTAACATTGTTTTTACTTTGAAAAGTATTAATTTCGCTCTTTATAAGTCTCGTCCCCTTCATGACGGCCAATCAGCGCGCTTGGACGAATGACGTCACATGTGCAGCCCGCCTATGCCGGCGTCGCGCTTTGGCTGTGGCGACACCGGTGGCGGTACACGACTCTCTTACCAACGAATTTCTGTCAATTTCAACGAACCGATTTTCACGAAAACTATCCCACAGCATTCACAACACTCACTTTTACGTCGTCGATTACTTTTCTGGACACTTGCACTTGATTTTCTATTTATTTGCGAATTTTCAAAATCGCGCACCTTCCGCTGAATTCCGGCCTATGGCCTGTGAATGGCCGGCCGTACCTCTCCATCACATCGAAATGATTACTTTACTGCACAAATTGGCCTGGCCCGTTAATTTAAACTTGCTTATTTAATTAGAGGAATGTTTTAAACTACATTTAACGTGGTTGCAAGCGTGAAAAGTATTAATTTCGTTCACATCTAGCGCCGGTGGCTGTAATGGCGGCCGT